CGGTTAATGAACAGCAAAAGGTGTAGTTTGAGAAGTAATATCAAACACTTGAGAGAGTTCTTCCTCAGATTTCCAAACACGGAGGAAGGAAGGAAGAAGAACTCTCTCGCGTGTTTGAAATATTACAACCAAAACCAATGATTCGTTTTAACACATTTTATATTTCTCCAAGGCGATAATTTTTCCAGTCGAAGGAAATGCTCTGAACATATGCTGGTTGGTTAGCCTGATGGATTCTAATTCTTCTACTGTAAGTAAGAAATATTGTAGACTAGTCGTTTTCACTTGTTTTCTTTTGCTCAATGACTGTGAGAAAGTATATCTGTAATATTTGACCTTGTTGTTTTAACTCGTGTGAATGTATTATTACTCTGCAGGAAACATTCGTAGAACGAATGATGGAACGTCAGTTAAATATTATCTCAACTCGTAGAAAACATTTATCTCCAAAGCACGCAGTATTGTTATACCAGCAGCTGTATATACTCCAAAACATCATGGATTATAGCGAGAATATGGCTGCTAGTATACCAAGGTCTTATGCTGAAGAATTCAGGTTTGTATCACTGATGCTAATGACTTGCGCAAGCCAGAAAGGAAAGCGCGGTTTCCTGTCGAGAGCAGATTCATTGTGCATGACTGTGAACCTGCGCGGTAACGGCACGGAACTTGACGAAAATCCGTTCAGCCAATCACAGAGCTCTGTCCACACCTTTGCCTGTTGTGTCAATATGATCACTGATAAAAATGACGAAAACCACAAGTGTTTAAGCTCAAGGGAAGGAGAACCTAAGGAGTGGGATAATGAGCAGTATTCTCGTGTACTATGATTGGCTCAACAGATTTCATTATGCCCGTGCCGTGCTCGTTCACTCTCAGGGATAATCCATTTATTTACGGTTTTATTTCTATAGGTACTACATTAAGAAGCCAATCATACATAAGAAGTTGTCCAGTAGATACCCCCTAACCCCGCCCATCCTAAAACTACTGGACAAAGTAACACTCCGTGTTCTGAAGGGGAAATCAAGAACCAGTTACAGATAACAAACATGACGAATAGATGGACTACCGTGTTCTAAAGGGGAGATCCAGAACCAGTTACAGATGACAAATACCACGAATAGGAGTGAACTACCATACATGATTGACAGCTGAACAAAAGGAGATACGAAAGAGCTACTTTGGCAAGGGAAATTATACTTTTAGTTGATTAATAACTGAACAGGATAGAGTTACAAGCAATAGATTGTGATACAGCTGTGCTGGGAAAAGATAGCAATCATGAGACCGAACAAGATCAACAGATATTTATTAAAATTACTTAAAATCTTGAGGAATAAAATAATAATTGTAATTATTTATTAATGACTTGAATTGGCGAATGAATGAAACGAAAAATAATAATAATTGAAATCATAGATCATGGTTAATTGTAAATATATTGCATTTTATATGAAACGTTATAATATTTGTAATTAAACGAGCAAGCTATTAACAATAAAAATATAATACCACAATTAAGATTATAAACTTTGTAGTAGGTTGGGGTTTTGAAAGAACAAAAGTTGATGATTGGATGGGGTGGGGTGGGGGGTGGGGGGGGGGTGAGGTGGGGGTCATGGGGATAGGTACATACCATCTTCATAATCCTATTCGTCAAGCCTTTCCACTAAAAACATCTTATAATAATCTTAGTTATACCACAAAAAGAGTTCAAAAGCCTTTACTTACTTTCCAAACAATGCGTTGTTTGGTTGTATAATTGTATTAAGCTTCTTTGTCATCTGTTCTTAGTACAAATCACTCGATACGGCTTGGGAGTCAGATCTGTCGTGACGGGTCTGATATACGATAACATATCATCCGGGGCAAATGTTGTGAAATAGTTATCTGATGCACAGAGCTCAAAACCAGACATTACATCAATTACAAAATGGTTATGGTTCGTCTCACGAAATCACGAAACAACCATTGTATTATTCTTGGTATTTTCCTAGTTGTTGGTGGATATTTCTGTAACTGCACGCCAATCACCATCACCAGAGCAAATGATTCTTTGGATGAGTTTACAGCACCACAGATAAACTGTAACGCGTTTTGTTCTGCAAAGAAATCTCTTTTCTTAAGAAATACCTCAAGTTCTTGTGCCTGTAAGTGTGACTTTAATGCATCGACGTTCGTTTTTAAAGGGGATTTGACAAGCTCTGTCTGTATGGATAATATCAATATACGATCAACACTTGGTAAGACAAGATCATTCATCTATTAATATTTCTTTATTTAGTGATTTTAAGTTTTCAAGTTTAATTCCTAAATGAATAGATTTTTGTAAATTATTATTAGCGATCATTCCTTTGGGTAGATTTTCAAAGCAAAAGAAAACTTCATATTATATTAGTTTAGTTGAAGCTGTCAGTTTTGGGGGGCGTGAATGTGTTGCCTCATCCAAAGGAAGATCAAATTGATAAAATCAAACCTGATAAAAGCAAATAATGAACGTAGTTTTAATGCTTTTTGTTTAATTTTATAACATTAACAAATGTACTGGTAAATAATAAAAAATTGAATATTTTTTAGTCATTAAAATACTGATTATCTAATCAAAAATGCAGAGTAATGCATATTTAGAACGAGGGTCAAATGTGAAGGATAAGGTAAGGTAACATTTCAGTCATTCACACGTGATATCAAATGATACATTTTGTATATTCTAGGTCAGTGTGAGCTGCTATTGGATGGGAATAACAAAGCTTCTCTTCCTGTGCTCGATATATCAATACCTGGTTCCATGGTTCTTACTGGACAAGGCATTGGTTCATCTACCTGCAGTGTTATCCAGGAACACTTCCTGGATAATGGTACCTGGGTTGTTGGTGCTAGTGGGAATCTTACTACTTTTAGAACAGATCAAAATCTATTTAAGGTTAGTCATAAATGAATTTATTATGATTATGCTCATGATTAATGACGAGGATTGCTGTCTTATTTGAAGTTATAAAGGATTACTCGAGGTTCGGGATTCCCGCAGGAAATGGGCATGTTTTAATCGACTGTCTGAGTCAATGATGAGGGAGGGTGATAATTTGTGTAAATATAGACATTCTTTATAAAAATAAACTTGAAACTTKAACTTGAAACTTGATGAAGATCTGAGAGCAGTTACTTTTAGATACTGTAGCAAAAAAAAAAATCATGATTTAAAACGAATCGAAATCATTTGAAATTTAGGGTTTGGTTAGTAGCAGACATACGATCTCATAAACTAAAACGAAAAACCTGTACTTAACACAATGCCATGCCCCCGAGACATCCGTAGAGCTGGGGCGTCGTATGGAGTTCGGACCTGACGGCGATTAAGGCATTCTGCCCTTCTTCAACGTTAATTCAACCTCACCATCATTCATCTACAGTAGCTTGAATATAATAACGACAACGATCGTTGTATTTGTCCCGTTTCAGTGGTCCAGTAACCCATCAGTGTCCCCATATGCTGGTCGTGTTGTTAGAGTACAGATTCAATGTCATGTCAATACATCCTGTGTCATGATCAAGATACAAGGACAAATATCATGTAAGACACTACACTAACACACCAACTCCTCTATAATGAATACCTGTTGGTTCCTGCAATAAACCCTCTCTTTTCTCGATAAACATTCTTTACAACAGGCTATTGACCTCTAGGTTAGTATATATACTACGATACGTCATATCGTCCAAATATTAGGCGGGACTTTAAGATTTGTAAAATCTGCGATGGCGACGTCTACCCGAAGGGTAAATAACTTCACTTTGGGGTTTCGCGTCTTCAAAGTCTGTCTTCCCTGTGGATGAGTTGACTTTACTGACAATGTTTTAAATGAAATCTCCAATGAACAGAACCCCAAAGAGAAATTATTTGCCTTTCCGGTTGACGTCGCCGTCGTAGATTTTGTAAATCTTTGCAAATTCCCTATTGACCAACAAGGGGGTACCATATAGAATAACCCAGTAAAGTGTTCCATGTTATGCTTGGTTTACAGATAACGTCCTTACACCGGTCATTTCCACCAGTATTGCACTTCATCCTTCTCCTACCACCCGCTATGTTAGGTCTGCACATCCCACAACAAGTACAAACCATGGCACAAGCAGTCTTCAGTTTACAAGATCAAAGACAAAGGTAATGCGACTTTTCTTTATTATCATCTTGCAAAAGAGGAACTGCGAATAGTTCTCTCCATTCCTCTCCATTTTGTGCAGCCAGCGCCGGTGCATCACGAAGTGCACGGTGACTGTGAGCAGTGTCATGGCAGTCATGTTGGTGTTGTTGAATATTGATGCTAATAAGAAATCTTTTGACAAACACCGCCAATATTAACACGATGACGTAACTGCAAAAGAAGAATAACAGTAACAATTTATTGTCATCAACAGAATATAATTCCAATGAAGCCTGAAACCATCTCTCCTAGCCTAGCAACCGTTGTCACAGCAACGTCAAGTGCGGTCGTGATACCTAACGGTGAAACGAAGGCTGTGCAGGACGGGTGTGAACGAGGAACATGGGTGTTTTGTCATTGGTTTTATCTAGCGACAGCAGCTGTAGGAGTGTTTTTTTTTCTCTTTCTAGTAATCATCTTGATATCTTGTGTGTGTATTAGACGAAGAAGGTAAATATATCTCTTCTTCCTCGCCAGAGTTATTATTCTAGTTATTAGTATCTTATCCTTCATTTCCGAATGTCTTAACCCAATGACTATTCTGTTTAAGCTCTTATTCCTCGTTAATCCGTCGTTATTCTTTCTTACTAATTACAGGCGCACCTTACGTCATCAGAAACCAGGTAAGAGCGGAGAACGGCGCTTAACGAGCAAAATTCAACTTTTAAGAAACAATAGGACTGCTTGCTTTGCGCGTAATTTGTTTTCCATTTGAGATCACGTGTTATTCCCTTGACATTTAACCATGTTTCAAATAGTTGCCATAGATAACATAGATCGCGCCGTATATTTCCCTTTGTCTTGCGCTCTCGGCAGCAAGAGGTCGATATCAACTATAAATAGTACTTGTCCGCTTTACATTAATAGAACTGTGTTCGTTGTAGTTTTCTTCAAGTCTGGATTAACAAATGTGAAGGTAGGTATATGTCGCCTGCATGTGAGTATGAATCTTTTCAGTGACCCAGCGGTCATCGATTTGCTGTTATCACGTTTAAGACGCGATTATATGGAACAATTTTCTCTGCAACTTGTCTTGCAACGGCAATGGGGCCGAAAAAAGTTGTATGGAGCATTGCAGCGTGGTGTAACCTACAGCGCAGTTTGAAAAAATGTTGCGAGACAAGTTGCAACAATCGTTGCGAAAAGTAGAATTCGTTTGAAATTTTCGCAACGATTGAGTCTTCGTTGTAACGCGTAAACAACTTGCAACTTGTGTCGTAACGCTGTTGCGAGACAAGTTGCTGAGAAAATTACTACATGTAATCGAGCCTTTAGTAAGAATTGCTCACCACAAGAGTGCGGTTTGTTAATCTACAGGACACTGACTCTAGTACAGAACTCGCCCTGATCGGTAAGTTTTGTAGACTGCGGAGAATTTTAGGGATTTTCTTGATTAATTAAAACAGGTAATATACTGGAGAGTATGTGATAAGGGTACACCCAAACACCTGTATAAAAAATCCTTATCCACTGAGTTCAGGCTAGATAGACCTCAGGCTAACCCCAAACACCCCTCAATTAAGAAAAAAACTGCGCTCGTATAGAAAAACACTCTTCAAAGTATAATCCCTAGTTGAATTCTCCTAACTCGTTTTGTGATGATGCAGAAATGGACGTCAAGTCTGCGAATGAAGATCACAAAGCACAAAACAATGAAGAAGCGTTTTATCAAAATGTACCAAGAAGAGAAAAACCCGACAAAAACCAGCTTTATCGACCGCTGAGGTCTTCTGACGGAAGGGTGAGTTACGTCGTATTTTTTCCAAGTCTTAAAATTAGCAGTCAAAAACTCATCAAAATTTGTAAAAAAATAAGGATGTAATCTGTCATGCAACACTCTGCATTTGGTACAAAGTTATCCTTGGCTATATATAAAGTACGTACATGGCAAAATTTTCCCAACCTTAAAGATAATTAATAGTTATCAATCTACATAGACAGCTGGCTAACCAACTCAACCCATTAACACGTATTTTCAGGATAGTTCAGCTTTGCCTGGCAGATTCAGCTTTGGCTCATCAACTAATGAAGTCATGTTGTACGATGACACTACAGACTCGAATCAGCTCATTAAACGTGAATCTGGCTCACAATCCTCTACTTCTGCTGGTCAACGATTTAGAACATTCTGTCCATCTCCTGTAGTCGTTCAGTCTAAGAAAGAATTCCTTTCAAATGAGGCAATCTTGGACGCCGAGGAAGAGGCGACTTATGAAATAATGGAAACCAAGACTTTACCTCACAATAGAAAAATAAATTCATCTGATATTGAAAGCATTACTGGATTTGATAACCGAGTTTTCGAGGAGGACGACCACAGGCAATCACATTACGAGGTTGTATCAGACGAACAGCCCAATTATGAAAATCTGGAAGAGAACCAGCCGAACTATGAAAGAATGGAAGAACACAGGAATGGGTTGGGATTGAATACACAGAACGAAGAAAAGAACTGTTCTGGTCTAGATGAAGAACAGGAGAATTATGAGACGATGGACACTTTTTCTGGAGAAGAACAGCCTGATTATGAAATCATGGAACAAAAAGACAAACCTGGCGGAGAAGAGAATTCTTCTTTATTGTACGAAAAAATGGGCGCACACAAGGATTGGCACAATTCTAATCATGACAGTGGGAATGAAGAGATAGAAGATGAAAGGGAATATGATATTCCTGTGATAACAGAAGATGAACATGAATCACACTATGATATTCCAGAACTTTCTCTTGAAGTCAATCAAGATCCAGACGAGCCTGATTATCACTACGCGGTGAATACAGGAAATCAAAACAAGGATACAGGACTTGCAGTACAAAATGACGTAAAGCATGATGATGATGGGGAGGAGGAGGAGGAGGAGGAGGAGGAGGAGGAGGATTATGTTTATGCTAATGTACCAGAAATACAAGGGAATAATCTCCGAGAAAAGATAAGGAACTCTTGGCATCCAGGAGAACAACAACACGTAGAAGAAGCAACTGTTAAGCGAGAGGGCCAGACGGTGACTGCGAAACCAGGAGCGGATAAAAGGCCTTCGAGTTGGAATACTAGTACTGCTGGGCAGAAAAATGAGAAGACATGGCACGAAGAAGATGATGAAGAACTTTACTCGTTGCCTGATGACTATTCAAAGCCTTTGCCTTCTTGTCTGTTGAAGGGAGCATCRAGTCCCCAGCTCAAGCAAACACAAGCTAAGAATCAAGTGCCTATCAAGCAAAAACAAAGAAGTGATAAATCAAATAGCGCTCGACAAGCCAATGACCAAATACGACAAAAAGATGGCGATGTAGTTCTAAGGAGGGCTCATCTTGGTAGTCCGAAAACAAGCAAACCTGTTGCTAAAAATAATGTACCACTGAGTAACATGATGAAGAAGAACAAGTCTTCCCTTGAACAACCAGAAAATTCAAAGGGACGGAAGGTATCAACAACAGGTAGAGAAGCAAAGAAAGATCGTCCAGAAGAATTCGATAAAGAAAAGCCATCAGTCAAACAAAGTTCGACGAATAGATCCAGCAAGTATGAAGGTAGTACTTCGTCACCAAGGCAACCTCTTAGTACGAGTGAAGAGAAACAGGAAAGGAGAAGACGTCAACCAACCAGTAGTAAAAAGCAGGCAAATGATGAACCGCAAAAACTCGAAGAATATAACCAGAACACCAGATGGAACCATGAGGGAAATAAAGACAAGACAACAGAAAATGACCACACATATGAACAACCATTGTACACTAATCTCGTAGAGATGGAAAATGAAGGACAAACATTAGCTAATGAAAACACAGATGTACAAACAGAAAAAGACGTCGAGATTGATGAACAGCCTTTGTATGAGAACGTTGGCGCAATGGTAAGCCATGTGGGATGATTAAATGCGTTCAATAACGCGCGTGCATTTGTGCGCATGACTTCTGCGCATTTCGATGACCCTGCCGCCTACATTATCAGAGCATCGCAATGAAACAAAAACTCAACACACAGAATCAATATTAATAGTTTATTCTTCATGATTTTAGTATCATATAATGATTGCGTCAATAATTCTTTAATATTTATGCATAAAAATATACCTCTTGCATCACAAATATACATTTAATCTTGAATACTAGAAAGATAGTAAAACTATGGACTTTAGGAAAATATTCTTATAAAACGAGCACTTGTGAATTATGGCTCAACTATGACATTCTTTTCTCAAATATTCTTTACAAGGAATAAATTATCTAACAACTTTTTTTGATCCTTAAAATTTACATGTTTGAACTTTCTTAGAAATTTCATAAATCATAGACCCTTACCAAAGGAAAGGAACTCCTATTCATCTTTATACCTATCAATATATGATGGCTATTTTTGAACTTCTTATGCATTTTTATTGTATAGCTTGGATAGTACGCGCGCTCTGATGGGTCGAAAACTGTGCTTTATTATATTAGTTAACAGAGCAGTGCTAACGCCATCCCCGCGCACGAAGTGCTGCTAGATCCTGTGACCGTCTTTCTTTTTGCGTAAATAACTTCAATACCGAAAAAAAAGTAGATACATAATAAAACAGCTTTTTCCGTGGTCCATCCAGTATTGAAGCACTTAGGACGCGGCGTAAGCACTCGCCTACGGCTCGTGCTTCTCTTTACAATATTCTTTCGTGCTTACGCCACTTCCTGCGTGCTTTATTACTGAACGGAGCACGGAAAAAGCTTTTTTATTTGTTACATATTTTTGATGTATCGATTCAAAGTGGCACCAAAAACCAAGACTAAAAACATGTGGCTCTAAGGAGAGGCAGATAAAAAATATAGGCTGTGAGTACGTTTGTCTTTGTGTTTTTCTATTTTGACTGATTGCCATGTACTGGCATAAGGTAATCGTCTCCCGCATCAGGTCCTTCAAGGACATCATAAACTGGAGGTTCTTTATCATTGGGGTCCTCAAGGACATCATACAATGGAGGACCATTATCATTGAGGCCATCATAAACTTTAGAGTCTTGTTGGGACATACCAGCACCTTTTGTGCTTGGTGTTCTTAGGGTGGTTCGCTTTTCCTGTCCATCTACATAGGCATAGTCATAGTCATCTGCCTCTGGTTGGGTTTGGTTGGTTTCCTCACCCACTAGAGTCAAATATTCTGGTACGTCTTGTTTTTCTGGACTTGGATTTTCATCGAGTAAAGTCAAGTATTCAGGAGGTTCCATAGTTTCTGTGCTCTGAATAAAGAGGTAAATATTAAAAGTCATATATGAAGGTTGGGTCCTGGTGTCTAATAGTGTGGACATGTCCACACAGCTTAATTGGGATGTTCTGGTGACAAAAAGAAAGAATGCACGAAAAAAGGTGATTAAGATTTTGTTACCTGGCCGTTGTGCACCAATGCCTGATAGATAGAATCCCTTCCATTATTTACTGATAGTGCTTCATATACAGGCTTTTCAGGTTCAGCATAAGTATTATCGTAAGTAGAGTCACTATAACCAGCATTATTGGCAGTCCCCTTTAATGTTTTGACGACCAATTCCTGATAACCAGGGTTGTCATATGCTTCATCATCATCCTCGTTGTCATAGTGATTACTATCAATCTTAGTTTTTCGTTCGTCTGATGGGTTTTTGACATTCGGGTGGCCTTTGTTGTTGTTGTTGTTGTTAACAATGGCTTTATCATAGACAGGATTTCCTGCAAAAAGATATTTCAAATGTGTTATAAACTCTTCCCCAGGGCCATAGCCACAAATTTCTGATTGGTCTGGTTTTGGAGGGTTTTCAGTTTTTCTTGTATTTTTTTATGATTTTTCTCATATTTTTCCCCCAAAAGTTGGTCCAGTTGAAACCGGCCAACCGTACCGGTGGCTATGGCAGTGTTCCCTCACTCACCCTCATGGTCATGGATTCAATACCCCTGTGGGTTAGTATCTAGTTTTGTAAAGTACCTACTCACCAAGCATTGGCAGTTGTTTGGGGTGATGTTTTTCAGTGGAGTCCAAGTAAGCAGGATTATCGTATATCGGGTTTTTGAGTGTAGGAACAGAAGTGTTATTCTAAGAACAAGATGACATAAATAGGTTAATATCTATTGAGGCATTCCTGGGGGTGTTCCTTGTACAGATCGCCCTCACCCCCAAAGGGGGTTACATTCCTACTTAACATATTTTTTTGGTAAAATCCCATTCTTAATTAACTACAAATTCCCATTTCTCACTTTCTCCCTTTCAAGTCTTTCCAGGCTGGACCAGTTAATTAATTTTTTGGACCATCTCATTTGAACTATTTTTTCCATTTCAAGTAACATAAATTCCATTTTCCTGCTCAAAACTATATTAACTAACTATTTTATCCCTTTACTGGTTGGTTGGTTGGTTAATCATGCATGGTTTTAAGTAAAACTTTAATAACTTTGACCCCCCTGGGGTACTCTTGCCCTTTTAGGGTAGGAATGTGCCGCTGAGCCCAATGAACCCTGACCCTTTTCCATTTCATATACCCTGTCCCAGAGTGAGTGCTATTTTATGTACCCYTATCCAGAGTAGAATTGCTGAAAACCATAACCTGTTTGGCGGCACATACCCGTATAGCGAATATAGGGGAGTACCCCCCCCTCCCCCGGACTTTGACCCCTCCCCTCATCATATGAACAGCAAGTTAAACGTACTTACCATTCCAGTACCATTTGTAATAACTGTATAAGATAGAAAAAAGAAGAAAAGAAAGAAAAAAAACTTTTTTAATTTGTACTAAAATATCTTCTCGCTAAGCTACAGGTAACATATACTTTTTTAAACAGTACTTTAAAAGGTTTCAAGTCACTGCCATAATTTGTAAATTATATCCCTTGTTTTATATTGTACTATTTATGAAAGCAGAGGATTCAGTTATTTCTTTTATGTAGGAGCCTCTCTTGAGCCTCTCTTGACAATAAAACAGGCATTCAATTGTAAAATAGCTGGCAATAAGTGGTGAAGTGTCTGTCTTAATTAATTCCACCTAGCTGCTCTGCCTTCTATGGTCTCTGTATACTAACAACAGTCATTGGCATAGAGAGGGGGTCCTAGATAGGGTCACTTTGTCACCTTTGCTAACTTCCAATGGGTTAGAAAAATGTGTTTTTGTGGGAGGGGAGTGAGGGGTGAAAATGGTTACTGGAAAAGTTAAGGGGCCCTTAAAATGGGAAACTCTGCAGACTACACCTCTTTCAAATAGTGCTACACTGATCGAATTAAAGAAGATGTGTAAGTTTGCTTTCCACTTTTTTTGACATGAAATTTAAGAAATATAACAAGACAGTACCTGTCATATCTGTACTGCAGTATGCTTCATTATTCCTGAAAAAATACATTTTCAATGATGTGAGTTAGCTAGTACATCAATAGAAGCTAAAAGTATATGTGAAAAGAACATTCATTTTTCCCTTACCTATTGTTCTGTTTTCTTTTCACCACAAACCAAAGAAAGATGCAAATTATTATAACACATGCAATAGCTGCTGCAGCACCGATGGCTGTAATTACAAGTGTGTCATTGCTGCTATCAGAATCACTGGATTCTCCACGAGCACCCTTCTTTCCTGGGACCACATCTGTTTCAGTGGTCGATTGTTCTGTTACTTCTGTAACTGGCATCTCACTCTCTTCCGTTGGGATATCTTCAGTAGCTGTTGAAGCTATTTTATTAGTGCTGTGTTTATGTCTTTCTGTGGTTATTGTTTGATCAGTTACTGGTACCGTTGAAGTCTCAACTGTGTTATGTGTTGTATAATGTAAGCTGTGTGTTGTTTGTCTACTTGTTGTGGTTTGTACAGATGTAACAAGTTTAGGTGTGCTTTGAGAGGTAGTTGTAGATGGAGTAAACCGTTTAGTTGTAGGTTGTTTAGTTGTTGAAGAAAGCTGTGTCCTTAGTGTCTTTATTGTTCCTACACTTCTTGTAGAACTTGTTGTTGGTGCTTTTGTAGGAGGATCTAAATCATCTTAAAAAATTAACAAAATTTAAATGCATCAAATTAAACATTATATATATATATATAGGGAGCTATGGTTTTACTTTAATTATAAAAGTTGATTAAATTACTTATATTGCTTATTCAATACTTACACAAAAGCTTTCCAGATATTTTAAATATTATACAATGTCTGCTGGTCTGTGATGTTGAAATGCTAGTGCAAGTCAGAGGTTGTTTTATGATTCTTCCAGGATATTTAGTGATCCTGTTCCACTGAAAAATTAAATAAATACTAATAGTCAAAGCATAAACCCAGAAAGAGGTCCTTTCTTTAATCACACTGCTTGTTCAACCATGGGCTTTTTTCATGTGCCAGAAATGTTGGTCTGAACAATAATAGATTTCCAGACCCAAGTGTTGCTATAATGGGTTCAAACAAAGGAACTTATTCTCATTTTCTCATGAGAATATAAATGCCACTGTGGATAAGTTTTAAAGGTCCATGGCACAGTTTGAGTAATATATTCACATACCTTAAGATATCTAGTCCATGAATTTGGTGCATATAATAAGAAAATATCTTCGAGTGATGACTTCCACACTCCATAATCCCAATAGAGAGCAGAACCAGAAGTATTGCATCTGGAATTTCCTGGAAAAACCACATTGTTCTGGCCACTTTTACTGGTGTCTATTACAGTAAGAGAGTTAGTCGGTGTACCCTCATTCTGAAAAAGAATGCTGCAACCTACAATTGGAAAAATTAAAATTAAAATGAACAACAGATGCAACTAGAAGTCATGAAATAGCTTCAATGTTGTGGTTGATTGACCCCATTGTGACTGACGTCATGAGTTTTATCGGAAGTGATTATTGAAAGACATATATGTTTACATAGAACAAAGACCAATTGATTCATGTAATAATTTAACAATTAACCTGTCATATGAGTTAAGTAAGTGGACACGAGCCACGTTTAGCATAGTTCAAGTTTGCAAGCAGCTAGACAAGGTATGATTTTACTTGTATTATTATTTTAGGAACTATTGTATTTTCTTTAAGATCTATCGCGATTATTGTATGATTGCATGTATGTACGATTGTCATTAAGATTAGTTAGCAATTTATTTCATTTGATTTATTATAGTTTTACGATTGATTTAACGACAAAGATTAAAAGAGATCAAGGGATCTAAAGTGTCTAGTCCGATCGATCCGTAAAATAGCCTAGCCATAACTGCGACAGTTACACCCATTATTGCAACTGCTTTGGAGCAGTTTTTTCAACATTGTTTGCCCAAAGTCTTGTCTGCAATCATTCAATCACAGATGACGCTAGCTTGAACACTAGAGTCAAGCACTTTTTTATTCTAAAGTGCATGTGTGAGGAGCTTATCTCTTTTTTCCTTCATGACGGAACTCGGCAGCCTCCCTAGTCTCCCACACAGCCGCTTTCAGTGTCGTCACGCAACGCTTTCTCCGCGTAACGACACTGAAATTGGCTGGTGGGGGAGCGAGACTAAGGCCTCCCCAGCTTTGCCGTCACTGCACTGTTGCAACCTACCCTCCCAACCTTTACTTTAATATTAATAAATTTATGGAAGCAATAGAGTGAACTAACCTTCATCTGATCGTAGTTTAGAATTCTCGATACATGAAGAATTGCTAGCAGTGGCTCCCATGCGAAAAGTAGAAAAAGCATATTGACAAGCGCACCGGCAGCTCCTTGCTGATCCATACTTAACTGTCTTGAATTCTGTTCGGCAGTTGTTTTGAAGACATCGTTGCCACTTTTCCCACTCTCCTTTGCCGTTGATGATAAAGTCATTAGGAATCGCATCTCCCTTAAGACGCCTTTCTATTTCAAACGTCATTTTCTTGCATAATGAGGATTCAAAACAACACAAGCTCGTTACGATCACAATATAAAACCTCCATATTCTTTTGACGAAGGCCATCCTCCTCTGTCTATYGTACAGCACAGGGGTGCATCCGATGTTAATCTTATAAATGCTAAAATGATGTATTTTTATGTTTTTCTATGCAGCTATGTTTATCCTTGCTCATTAGAAGATCATTTCTTGGAAGGATTGCATGTATCACTTGTTCATTAACGCTATTCACTTCCGGTCAACCCACAATCCTCTGGGGTAGTTTCGCGGTATTTTTGTTAACTCGGTAATCTTGGAAATATTGAATGTTATTTCTGCTTTCTTTGCAAAGTGTTTGTATAATAGCTGCAATGTCAAGGAACCCACATATGAAACCAGCTGTTTATGATCAAGTCATATGATGGTAAAACAATGAAGAGAATCCGATCTGTCATGGCGTGCAGCGAGAACGGCTTATCGAAATATGAACATGGCTTCTTCGACTTTTAATATCAAAATTGTCTTTATGAATCCATTCTATTTTAATTAGCGACAATAATTTGAAGAAGTAGATTATTCTAGAGTGTATTTTAAGGGTCTATCGTAATCGACTTTGCGTTAAATAAGTAGCTAATGGCAAAGGCAAACAGTACAGCCCAGTATCAACAGATATCGGCAAATCTATCGTCACCTAACGATGTCTACAGGTCTGTGCGTGTTAATGGACGTTATGTAACTCCTTGGGGTGGTCAGAGGCCTTCACTGACCTCGGCTCTTAGATGGGGCTTGTTTATGAAGAACGAGCGAGGCATAGGTGGTGAAATGAAAGATTTCTACAAATACAAAAAAGAGGTAAAAGACTGTGCATAATTATATTCTAATCAATACTTAATCCAATAATTTGACAAGTAATCTATATTAAGGCAACCTTTGACATTAATGATGGCGTACAATAGTACATGTAATAACACATTACCAGAGCTGTTTGTTTTTTTTCTTTGTTTTTCTTGGTGTTTTGCCGCAACATGACAACAATACTGCATCTAATTTGAAGTATGCGTTGCACTGTGTTTTCCTTGGCCAGTCGTGAACTCAACTTATATTGATTTATGAATCTTYATATGGTGTTATCATATATTATCAAGAGGTTATAGAGTTTTATTAATCCTATGATGGTTTTTATCATCTGATGACAGGAGCTCGAAAGTAACCTTCCAGTATTACCTATCAACCAATCAGCATTGACGTCACCTCCAAGTGACAGCATGCAGGTCACATGGCTTGGTCATGCAATGGTGTTGGTACAGATTGATGGTCTCAATATCCTAACCGATCCTTGCTTAAACAGTTTCTGTGGTCCAGCAAGGTATCTAAGCAAGAAGCGTTATCGGCCTGCACCATGTACTGTGGAGGATTTACCAGATATTGATGTGGTCTGTGTCAGTCATAATCATTTTGATCATTTGGACAGTGAGACAGTAATTAACCTGAACAAAAAGTGTAGTGCAACATTACATTGGTATGTGCCGATGGGAATGAGAGACTGGATGGTCAAACATGACTGTATCAATATCACAGAGTTAGAATGGTGGGAGGATACCTTACATCCTAAACATGACAATGGCCTCTCAGGAGTGAGATTTATCTTTGTTCCAAGTCAACACTGGAGTAGAAGAGGGATGTTAGATGAAAACAAGTCATTATGGGGGAGTTGGTGTGTGATAGGATCAAAGCAGAAGTTCTTCTTTGCAGGGGATACTGGATATCATGACCAAGTATTCAAACAGATAGGACATCATTATGGGCCTTTTGATTTCTCAGCCATCCCTATCGGTGCTTATAAACCCAGGTAGATTGAATATACCACAATTATTTAAATGTTAGGCCCAGGCAAGAGAAGGGGGATGCATGATACAGATGGGGGAGGGCTGGGAGTATCCTAGAGAGTTTGACATTTATTAGTCATAACCCTTTTCCCTTGGGTACACTATGATATATGCCCACAAATGTCCAGGAAACTACCCAACACCTCAACAAAGTCATCCAGGCTATTATTTATTTATTTTATTATATTTTTCAGTTGAAAACGGAATTGAATTAACATTATCTATTTTTCTTAGATGGTTTCTGAAATTCCAGCATGTAGACCCCAGTGAAGCGGTACAGATCCATGAAGATGTGAAGTCTATGCTATCTCTTGGTATTCACTGGGGTACTTTTCCTCTTGGGTATGAGGTATGCATGGGACATATTTGATATTATATGTGTGATTGCATAATAATATTGGTAATGGTAATGATATTCATCATCATTATCATCATTATCATTCTCATCGTCATCCTTATCACCATCATCATCGCTATAGTCATCATCATCATCATTGTTACTTTCATCATCAATGTCATCATCATTAATTGATGTTGTTGATCATCAATCATAGTCGTCATCACCATCATTATCGACAACAATAGTAAAAGTAATGATGCCAATGATATAAATAAAATAGTATTTATATAACACATGCCAAAACCTCCATGCAGTTTAAAATACATTTTTTTATTTCAGCACTATATGGATCCACCTCGTGATCTCAAAGACGCTTTGGAGAACAGACAGATTGACACCTCAACTTTTATTGTTCTGAACCATGGAGAAAGTATGATAGTCCCTCCACCCAGAGAAACAATCCTCTGATGGGCTTCCTGTGGACCATGGACCCAGAGAGACAATCCTCTGATGGGCTTCCTGTGGACCATGGACCCAGAGAGACAATCCTATGATGGGCTTCCTGTGGACCTCTAATGGGCGTCCTGTGGTATGACCCCATCAAGAAGTCAATGCCTGATTGAATGCTGATAAATCCAAAGACTTTTCAAAATTAGCACTAAAAATAAATTTTATAATTATTGTATTTTAAGTATTTATGTTATGGTTAAATAATGAGGATTGATGCTTTAGAGTAGACCTATAGTTTTATTAATACTATACTAGTCCTATATTTAGTAACTGTTTATCCATACACATATATATATATATATATAATTATTTATTTTATCACACAAAAAATTATTTAATTTTTTTTTAAAACATGTAAGAATATATATCAAACTAGTTATTGATAATATGCAAATACTCCCATTTTGAGATCGCTTTTGCTTAGTCTAGACTCGATTGTGTACAAATGTGTTCTTTTCTTTCATTAAGGTCCATTGTATAGTAAGGAATGTACGTATACTATGCAACAATACAAGTTGATTAAAATGCCACAGGTTTTGGTTGAATAGCTGAATATTATAATGCACAAATGAGACTCTGAGGCTGAGCAAAGAGTACTTGAAACTGGAGTATTCATGCACCAATACATTTTTTCACCAACCATTCATAGGTTTATTATAATTTATATAAAAATGCTCCAAAATACTATGACTATTAATTTTGTATTGGATTTGTTTGTTGGAAATTTTCAAAAATACTTCTAAATATGCCAAAAGTTTTTTAAAAACGGCGTGTTTCAACGATTTTTAACCTGTATGCTAAAAGATCCCCCAAAAGATATGAAGATATGCCAAAATTCTAAATGTCAATTTAAACACCCTAAAAGATACTAAATCCCTTATTTCTACCCCTAATAGACACGATGAGCCTTTACCTGATTACCCTAGGTTGCCTACTCCTTAAGGCGTGAACACTCACTCACAGGAATCCCATACAAGCTTTGAGTGCTAAATGTAATACTCCTTTTTACAGTTCCGTTCAGTGACCATGAATAATAGTTCCTAGCCGAGGCTGGAGTTTCCTCGCATAGGAAAACTACAGTTTATTATGCGCGGTAACTCCAGCCTCGGCTAGGAACTTTTATTCGTAGTCACTGAATGGAACTGTAAAATGGAGTATTTAACGGAAAAAAAATTAAATAAATAAAAGCTAATATTTACTCACATGAAGTGTTTTATAGGTCATCCTAGTTCTTTAGTAGTGATTTCGAACCATTTTAGCGATGTTTAAAAAAATTTCCCTTCCCCTCTATATATGAGCTTGTATGGGCTTCCTGTGGAACACTGCGATCACTGGCATACATAGCAGTACTATATTGGGTTGCCTGTGACACTGAACCAAAGGGATCCCATAAGAAGTGCTCATAATGTGAAGTTTGTCGCAATCTTTATATTTCAAAGTTCCATGCAAACGTCGTTACAAACAAAGTAGCTGTCAAGATTTGGGTCATAGCAGGACTTGGTTCTGCACTTTTACAAGGATTACTCCGTCTAAAAAGGTTTTTATCGATATCTGTTGTAATTTAGGGTAATGTGAAGACTCAAACAGCAGTGGTTATTAAATTTGCCATTATATATCTAAAGCTAGTTCTTTGAAAACCGATACCCTCATATTACAAAACAAAAGTGAAACTGAAAGAGAAGAAGTTCTTTTTATGTCTCTATCTATTTTTTGATACATTAATTTAGGCATATAGCGATGGCAGAAGGAAACACGGAAGATATAGATGACAAATATAAATCACGCCAAGAAAATGGACGGTATGTTATCCCATGGGAAGGATCCAAGCGACCATCCTTTGCGTCTGTTGTACGGTGGAAAATGTTGGATACAAATAAAAGTGGTGTTGGCGGAGGTTGGTGGGACTTATGGAGCTTTAAAAAAAAGGTGAAGATTGACTTTATTTTACTTTATTATGTTTCCTATTATCTATAATGATTTACGAAGTATGAATTGTAAAGAGAGGGTTAAGCCCGGGGGGGGGGGGGGGGGGGNGCTGGGATTCTGAAAGGGGTACCCTGTTTATGACAAAGAAAACTCAAATTTGCGGACCCTGTTTATGACAAAAGATATAATTTATTGCACTGGGTTCCTGTTTCAATTATCATGTCATCTAGCGCATCGTTTTTTTTCTACGACCATAACAACCAATTTCGGTCAATACGAAAGTAGAAACCCTGAATATGACAGGAAACTCAGGAAGAACTTGGAACTCGAGTGAAATTGCATACCCTGTTTATGACAAAAAGCTCGAAAAACCATACCCTGTTCAGCGGATCATCCCTGTATAGTCCATATATGGGAGTACCCCCCTCCCCAGGGGGTCAAACCTATAAAAATATATCTTTGAAAAACTTTGTAAAAAATTGCACAAACTTACACAATTTAGTAACTTTTTTTTAGTTACCTTTTTCACAGATTTATGGTATGCACTAAGATAATATCTAAAATCAATCTCAACATAGTTTGCAATAGAAACTGTAACAAATGAGGTGGGGAGGGGGAGGGTAGGGGAGGAGGTCACTGATTTTCATGCGGAGAAAAAAAAGTCCATGTCAATTTTCACAAGTACTCTAGTTCTTYGATAATAATGATCAGTCGCAAGAAAATATTTACTGAATGATAAGCTCTATTATTCTTCAGGAGCTGGATGAAAATCTTCCTGTATTATCTCCAGACTTGGATGCCTTAAAAAAATCAAAGGCAAATTGGGGGTTGCAAGTGACATGGATTGGCCATGCTACAGTGCTTGTTCAAATGGATGGATTAAATATCCTCACCGATCCAGTCTTTAGTGACTACTGTGGGATTTCTAGGATGGCAGGTTATAATCGCTTCCGTCCAGTACCTTGTACAATCGCAGACTTGCCTGATATTGATGCTGTGATCATTAGCCATAACCATTATGATCATCTAGATATTACAAGTGTTAAAGAACTGAATGAAAGATTTGGAGAAAAAACCCACTGGTTTGTACCGATGGGAACTGGAGAATGGATGAAAGAAACTGGTTGCAAGAATGTTGTTGAATTGGATTGGTGGCAACATTGTGGACTCTCTTCTAATCACAAGGGTAAAGATGTCAAGTTTGTTTTCACACCCTCACAACACTGGTGCCGCAGAGGAGTTTTTGATGAAAATCTTGCTCTTTGGGGAAGTTGGTCTATAATTGGACCTGAACACAGATTCTTCTTTGGAGGAGATACTGGATACTGTGATGTGTTCAAGGTGATTGGTGAAAAGTATGGCCCTTTTGATTTGGCTGCCATTCCTATTGGAGCCTACAGTCCAAGGTAAATGTTGTCTTGAGTATGGGAAATAAAGGCAACACAGCCATGAGAAATGATCTTCGCCTCTAACCATGTAATGCAAGAAGCATATTTGGTAGTGTAGCTGCTGATGCACTGTCTCTTACTGTCGTGGTCATGGATTTCATCCCTTCTCTAGCCATCCTACACAAGTAATGGTTCTCTCTATACCTGTGCTTCAAGGGTTTTTCTCTTGGTTTCCTCCCCTTCCAAAAATCAAGTTCTAAATTCCAATTTGATGATGAATGAGGGGCACAGGTTTGTTAGCCATTGGCTATTGTCTTTGTGCTACCCTCATAAAACTAGGAGAGTTTATTTATATTTTAATTACAATTTTGAAAAAAAAAATTGTTTCACTTTGCAAGACTAGGAGATGTGAACTGTAATCATTTCTGTTTTGTAATTTTTTAGTTTATTTGTTTTCAAAGGTGGTTCATGAAATTTCAGCATGTAGATCCTCAAGAGGCTGTTGTCTTGCACAAAGATCTGAAAGCAAAAAACTCTCTTGCCATTCACTGGGGGACATTTGCACTTGCTCACGAGGTAATTATATTGTAGTCCATTTTGTGATTAGTTAATAAATTTAAATGTGTAGTTCCAGGAATTATCCATCCCCTCCCACCCCACTAACAGAGGAATGTGGAATTTTTAAGGGGGAGTGGGTCAAAGAAATAGCAAAATTACAGAGTTTGTATAGAAGAAAATTGGAATTTCTGGGGTTGTAATAAATCCTCTATGGGTAGGGGGTATGGATAATATCTGGAAATACATATAGTTATTGGTAACGCTAACCACCGTGAAAAGTGTTAATTTATTTCCTATTTGTTTTTCTGATTAAATATTTTTATTTTTATTTCTTTGAAGCACTACATGGAACCAGCCAAGGAGCTGAGGGAAACTCTTAAGAAGGAAAAGATTCCTGATTCGGAGTTTTTTATTCTCAAGCATGGAGAAACAAAGAGACTTGCTTCACAAGATTAAATCAATGTAGATAGATAGATACTAGTTAGAAACATTGGTTTAAAAAAATGTATATAAACGTTTAGAATGTTTTAAAAAACTATCTTTCAATCACTGTTCTCTGAAAATAGATAGTAATGGTCCTATCTCAGGTCTGATTCACTTTTCATTCCCTTGAAGATATTAATTTAGTACAAATCTAACTCAACCATATAAATTTTTTCGTTAATCTTTTCATTTTATTTCTTAAGGTCTTTTTTGTTTTATTCTTTTCATAACGGAAATAGTCAGATAGAATGTGAATAGTTTATCTGACTTGACCACAAAATCTTATAATTTTCTCAAGGGAAATCGATATGGCAAGTGGTCTGAAATGGGAAAACAGTGACTGAGTATTATTTTTTTATTTCATTGTATCATCACTCTATTATCCCATATAAGCAACTATTGTATTATTTTCAAATTTTCTTTCCTGTCCAAATTAAAGATTAATTTGGATCCTTTCCATTCACATTCTTTTGAGGGGAAACTATGACTTATGGAATCAGCCTAGTATAGTTTGGGATGATATAATTAATCTGCAATAGGACTACATTTCTGTCCAATTTGGAAATAATCGAATTAAAAAAATTCCTCTGTCTGCCAAATTAGACTCGGCCTATCAGGCTCTTCCAATTTTGTCAGTCCTCAGAATTTTTTCATCCAATTATTTCCAAATTGGACAGCATGTAGTCCTATTACCTATACTTATTGTCTTTGATGATTTTTTTTTATAGAGAAAATAGTTAGATCAGAATGTAAATAGTTTATTGAACAGAATGTACCTTACACATTGGTTCTAATATTAAACATACAGTATAGTAATAATAAAGTTCATATCATGCAGAAAGAATGGATGTCAGGTGGGATCAAATAAAAAGGGATCAAAACTCAAAGGCATAGTGTGATTACTGAAGACTTTACATAGAAATACTCCAGTGACATACTCCAGTCCACAAGCACCAACTACAATTGCCTGTTTTAACCTAAATGGAATAGCTTAAGTAGCAGTCAGCACTAATCTAAGCCTTTGCAAAGAAAAAAAGTATAACTGAATTACTGATTGAAAAGTTTAATATCTGTTTTACTTTTCATCTTGATGGTGACCAAAAGGGATAAAAGTTTTCACTGAAAATAATACTGTTTTCTCAAAAATAAACTTACAAAGTCTTGTCGAATTGGTAAAGAAAGAAAGTTTATTTTCCCTTTTTCCAAAAGGTAGCAAAAAGTATGATGGTACCAGTATGATACCTAGAAGAATGCACTTTGTAGTAGAGTTAATGTTACCTATACTAACTATGCAAACACACTGTTCTCACTTCAATTTCTAAATAAACTTATGAAAACAATATCATTTACAGAAGAGTGGAAGAATAACCATTCCTAATGGACAAACAATATTCACTTGATCTCTTGAACTAATGCTTCAAGCTCCTCCTTGGTATGCATACGGAAATTATTTTCAACTGTTATGGTTGAAAGCTGGAAAAATAAGAAGGGATAATGTAAGCATCGTTGGGCGTAAAACTTTTAAGTTTTGAAACACTGAAGTGCCTCTCTTATGGATAAGTTTAAACAACTAGCCAGGCTCTGCTGTGGCGTATTAACTGTTCAATGGTCAGTTATCCCCCTACATTATGTAATGGGTTTAAGCTGTGAGTTAGTATCTTACCTCTACATTAGTGGCATTTAATTTCTCTTCCATGACTTGTTTGAGTATAGTTAGAGCTGACTTACAGGCTTCTTTTAATGTCATTGACTACAGAAACAACAGAAATAACAGAATACATTGACAATATAACAACTTTTTAAATAGAAATACAATAATACTTCAAGTAAAATTAATATTCATATCTCCAAATTGGAGGAAGAAATCTTGGTATCATCACTATCCCCACATTTCAAATTCCCACTAAGTGCCTTAGGTATGGGGGTTCAATTCTGGAGCTACACAAAAGGAAGTATTTATGGAAGTTATTTTGTTAAGCAAATTAATTAAGGAGTTTCTCCTTTTTGGAACAAAACTATTTTGTGTCAAAATATTGCAATGTTCCTTCCCTGCTACAACATGGCTGCCATGTACAAAGATACATATTATACCTTATGATAAGCTTCCTCGAGGGCGTGCTGTGCTCCTTCAGAACCAGATCCTACAGTACCATTAATAAGGTTAGTGAGATAAAATTTAATACTTGACAATGGCTAATAACATACTTTAATCTTTATAGTCAGTATAGCTACTGACAGTGTCTCAATATTCAATAGCAAAAAGCAAATTGTAGTACAAGAGTAGCTAGTAGATGCATATAGTTGATTTACAGTGCGAATCGAAAAACTGTGGGCATCTAAAAATATTCTAGGAATGTCCTATTTTTCCTTGGCCTGTCAGAATTGACTTTCTAACCACAAGATAATGGAAAGATAACAATAATGCTTCTGATTGGCTATTGAACATTCTTGAAATATTTCTAGATGCCCATGGTTTTTCGATTTGCACTGTAACCAAAACTTTAAGTCAGGAGCATTAACGTACCTATAGCTTTGGCATCATATTCTATGAATGTCCCAGAAGGATCCAAATGAAACCTGAAGAGAACAGTGATATATAACAACATCAAGTACTGTTCTGTGTACCAAAAGCAGGATTTGAAAGAATGAAAAACTATTGGTATAGCTACTTGTACATCGTATGAAAAGAATACGCATGGAACAAGAAGATTGTTCATGATGGCATTTCCAAGCTCAAACATACTTTAACAAATAGTGATTTAATAGCATGAACTGGACAGTAAGTAGGATGGTAAACATATAGGACTTACAGTTGAGGTCCTTTATCATCAAAACCACCAAACAACAAAGCAACACCGAAGGGACGACTCTGTAATGCAATATGTCAATTGTTATTAATAATAGACATTTTGGCTTGTTTTTATTCACAGATGGAGTAAAACATTGCAATAGGTATATCGTCAACAGGTTACCATCAATCAAGTAATTCATGAGGGTATGTAAAAGTACATGGAAATAATCTATTTGATTGACAATAGTCTATTTCTAATTTATATGTTGTTACTTTTCTCTTGAAAGTAGAAGTTATGCGTATACATACCATAGCTCCTTCTCTGGCATCATCATCACCAAACTCTAACGCCAGGTTGGATACTGCTTGGGTTATACTCTCTAGGCTAATGCTTTCATTATAAGTAAACCAGTGATTCTATAAAACACATGAAAACGTATCATCATTATACTGTGAGCTACTTGTGGTGACTAACTATATAACTCAATTATGATAAAGAAATAGGATGATATAATACAGATATCTGTGAACTGCCAAACCCGATCAAAAACACACTACGTTTACTTATGTCATAATGCTACTGTCATGCCCAAAAACATTGATGTTTATCTCTACATTCCTTTACAGTTTTCGTAAATCTTGCCAGAAAGCACCCTCAGTAGTTTTCCTATTTTCTCGGTTCGGCAGTTTGCTGACAGTAGGTTAAGAAGCATACCTGGGCTTCGACTCTTGCCTTGTCAATCATTGTCCGTGAGTCAGCAATCAGACCACTCATTGCACATCCTACAGAAAATTAAAAAACACTATTTAAGCCTGAATAACTTGTAGAACTTAATCAGCAGCACTTAGCACTAAAAATGGGATGTATTTGTATCTATATATATATTCATCTATTTAATTCTATTGCATTGTAAGAGCATTGAGATATTCATTACACCGCCACCCGGTTAGCTCAGTTGGAAAGAGTGTCGGTCTGTTGTGCGGGAGGTCATGGTTCAAGCCTCGGCTGGACCAACACTCAGGGTCTTAAAATAACTGAGGAGAAGGTGCTGCCTTTGTAATTACATCTACAAATTGTTAGACCTTCAAGTCTTCTCGGACAAGGACTTAAAACCGTAGGCCCTGTTTCCCAACCCTTCCTAACCAACAGTAAATGGGGGACATAAAAGAACCTGTTGAATTATTTTTGTAAGAGTAGGGGATTGTCTCCTGGTTCAACAGCCTATTCCAATTTGGAGGCATAACACTAATGTACTAACAAATCACTCATGATTGTAAGCTGCACGGCTGCTAATAGCGCCTTAATATGCAGTCCGTAAAGTCCTCCACTGCAATGTAAAGCGCATTGAAACATTGTGAAAAGCGCTATAGAAGAACCCCATTATTATTATTATGTAATGTGCTACAATATAATTATTATTACATTAACATTATTCACTAACCAATATGGCGATCAATCTCTACAATTTTCTCCACACTGAATGGTTCCATGAGAGGGGAGGTGATTCTTTTCTCAACAGCAAGAACCACTCCTTCTGATGTTTGGATTCCAATGGCTGTAGAACCAAGCTGTAACCATAACAAGTAACCCATGCTTAAGTCTTTGTTGTATTTATTAATAAATTATTATTGATTGAAAATATACCTTGATGGCTTCAATAGCATATTCTACTTGGAAAAGACGTCCCTCTGGTGAAAAGGTATTCACCCCTCTGAAACACGATAACACATTAACATTTAAATTAAACTATTAATGTTCTTCAATGAATGGAGAATGTAGATGATGATGACTGATGATGATGACAATGCCAGTGTATTAAACTTTACATTTAAGTTTTATGATGATGATGATGATGATGATGATGATGATGATGATTGAAGATCATGTAGTTTAAAGCATTAGGAAAGTTTATAATGCTGCACTAAAATAATAAATAAGTTTATAATGCTGTAAATAATATCCTTTAGTGCTACTGGCGGGGGATACAAAAACATAATGCCTTTTCTCAGGTGCAGTAGCGAGGTAGTGTCTTGCTTGCACTGCACATCAGGGTTTATATTTTATGGACATTTGTTTCTACTGGAAACCAATATTTAATCATTACCAGATCAATGTATTCCCTTACCTGTCATACTCTGATCTCGTTAAGAACATTGTTAATTTACGATAAAAATTTCAGGAAATATCTGTGAAGAAAGAAAGAAAACCACGAGGGGAAAAAATCTGTCAATGTCGACAAGAAAAACCGGCGAAAATGTGAACATGAAAAAAAAATGGATAAAAGGAAAGACAAATATGAATTCACATATGATAAATATCATTGAAAATAATACCTAAAGACTTGTATATATTGATTTAAGGAGTAGAAAAGATAAATCCAAGAGTTTTTTTTGGTTGAAGAATGAGTTTGCAAGAATTGGACCAGATGACCGCGATCATCACCAGTCAGCTGTATCCTTACTATGCGCATGAGCATCATGGTGGTGTCTAGTCCCTCTCCGTCAGTCCTTCTTGCTCGGGTTTTCAACATGGCGTCGGGATTGATTTTAAGATGTGGTTCAAAAAGAGCCTCTTTCTTAACTCGTCTGCTGTCTAACTCACACCAGGTTTGTGCTATGACGTAGAGTAATAACTATAGTTATAATGTACGCAGTGGTATTTTTTTGGGGAGAGGTAAGAGTGATTAAATGAAGAGGTTTTTGAAAGCTGTTACATCATTTTCAGGGAAAAGCCGGTTTTCTTTCCAGTAAAAGACATCAAAGCTCTCATGCTCTTTCTTACGAACAGGTATGCTTACTATTAATCGCCAGGTATTTTTGCTAATATATTTGTAGCTTTATACGCTCTTACTTTTTAAGTGGTAGTTCAACTTTAAGTCCTATGTAAGGTGTGATGCCAGTATGTTGTATGTTGTAAACTCTGATCCACGAATCTTGTCTTTATAGTCTTTGTACAATGTCCCAGAAACCAAGGTGACCACTTTATCAAATGGTTTGAAGGTTGCTACAGAAGATTCAGGAATTTCTACAGCAACGGTATGGCAATGTTTCAAATTATTATACTGTATAGTTTGCTGTTGATGTTCATGTGCCTAATAGGCCCTTTGCAGCTCAGCAATCACGTGCTTATTAATTCACTGAGAGCAAATGAATGAACATTTTGATTCCCATGGGTGAAATATACTGGTGAGCAAACAAACTTTCTACAACCTGTTTTGAGAGATCGCAATAAAACTGCATTTCGTAACACAYTGGATACACATGTTTTCATTCAATKCTTTACAAGTAGCTAAAAAGAATCACCAATTTAATATAAAAACAAAAATTTTGCAGTCCAGTACAGACACGTGACCGTTAACTGCAAAGGGCCTATTGCAAATTAAATGTTGTGTCATTGAGGTATTTAAAAAAACGTTTGTTTGTACATGTGCTGTACGAATATTTCATTGATGTAACAGTAGGCATTTTATGATGTTACAGGTTGGTCTGTGGATAGATGCTGGAAGTAGATTTGAGAATGAGAAGAACAATGGAGTTGCTCATTTCCTAGAACATATGGCATTCAAGGTAAAGTATTGTACACTTTAAACACAAGGTGATCACACTGCCTGTGCGAAGCTAATTTTATCCATCAAGAGATCTAGAGTTATTATACAGTCACCTTATTTTGACCTCTCTGACTGCTTTAAAGCTCCGGTATGTTCCCTAGCTTGGAGAAATAATGCAACAGAGTGCTTATGTTATCTGCAAATAGTTGGGTAAATAAAACATCAACACATTCTGCTTCCTGTCTGTACTTCTCATTACATTTCTGCTGTTCTTGGATATTCCATAATCATGGTATGGTAAATGGCTTGTCCAAAATTATAGTCAGTCAATCACTGGGAAGCGTGCACATCATGTTTATGAGACCATTTAGTATGACATAGCAATGCAAGACGTCTATTAACTGTTTAGTATGTACAAGGTTATGATCAAAACTTATATCGGCTGTGTATTAAACAGGGTACCCAGAAGCGCACTCAAATAGACCTTGAACTTGAAGTAGAAAACATGGGTGCTCACCTGAATGCTTACACATCAAGAGAACAGACTGTGTATTATGCCAAAGTTTTTAGTAAAGACATCTCTAAAGGTAATAATAAGTTTAGGTCTGAAACTTTTTCATCAGTTGGTATGGACATTGTCAAATAAACGTTTCTTCAACAAAAATTACTGATTTAATTACTATTATCCATTATCCATTGTAGATATAATCAATTTTTTTTATAAAGATCAGCAATTTTGGCTGAAGAAATGTTTATTTTTGACTATAATAAGTTTATTTGTTTACCCATGAAGCTAAAATAAGTACAGGTATGTATAACGAAATATATATAAATCAATAATATCCGGAGTTTTAAAAGTTTTCGAGTTGTTCCTGAGTTGCTTAAAGCCATAATGTTGCTAACCCTTACGAGAAGACTTTGTAATAAACATTGCTTATTGGTATATGTCTTGTATTTAGCTGTGGATATTCTGGCTGATATTACCCAGAATTCAAAGTTTGGGGAAGCTGAGATTGAAAGGGAAAGAGGAGTTATACTACGTGAAATGCAGGTATATTAAACTTTAAGATTTTTGTTAATAAACTCCTTTTATCATCATCATCAGGTCCCACAGCGCTATGAGTCCCATAAGGCCTTAGTGAACACCCTTAGCAGGGCTTAAGATAATGGCCGGACATCAGACAGTGTCTGCCTACCATTGAAACTTGTCAGCTCAAATCTTGACCAGTCTTGCTGGCCAGTCATTTTAACCAGTAACACTAAGCCAGGAATAAGGCATGACTGAGCTACAACTATTATTTGGCCAGTTATTTTAAGCCCTGCTTAGCATTCCTTAAAGAGAGAATAGATGTGTAGTTAATCTCTGAATAATACCTGCTATTGGAGGGGGGGTTGGAGCATCAGTTTAAAGGAAAATGACTTGGCTTCTTTTCTCAGCAAGTGATATGAGATATTATCTTTAAATTACTTCAAAATGTTGTTTCAAAGGAGGTAGATACACAATTGGAGGAAGTGGTGTTTGATCATTTACATGCTACAGCTTTCCAAGGAACACCATTAGGAAGAACTATATTAGGACCTTCACAAAATGTCAAGTAAGAGCCATAACAAAACAAGCTAGAAAACTTTGTGCTTATACATACATACATACATACATACATACATACATACTTTATTCGTCCTCTATAAGGCTTTTCAGAATAAAGGGCCTAATTAATTACAATTAAAATAATACTATATATAATTATATAAGAAGCAAAAAGAAAAGATCAAAGAATAAAGTAAATAAATAAATAGATAAATAAATACATATATATGGATAGTAGGGATGTCACAGGAAATAGATGTTAAATCAATTCCACAGTCCAGTGTTTCATTGGATTTTGGTTTCTGTTTTTAGAGGAAGTTTCTCTCTAAATTATAAGCCTTTCCATAGCCTACCCTGCCACTTCACTTTGAGGTTGAATCCAAAGTTCATATCAACAGTCATATACTGGAATTAAACTAAAAGTTATAGCACCTGGGTTGAGGTTTACTTTGTCTGATTATGACTATGTACATGTATGATGTTGTACAGTATTCATTGCCTAACCCATTCTCTTTAGGAGTATAACACGTGATGACTTACTGGAGTATATCAACAAGCATTACAGTGCTCCAAGAATTGTTCTGGCTGCTGCTGGCGGTAGGTTATCTGGAGCATATGACTTTAATCTGCCCTATTCAACACTCAGAAAGAGGGGGAATATTAACTTTTTTTCTGCACAATTACAGGTGTTGATCACGATGAGCTTGTTAAGCTTGCTGAAACTCACTTCAGTGGCTTGCGGTCCACATATGAAGAACAAGACAAGGTTGAGCCTTGCAGGTTCAGTGGAAGTGAGGTATGTTGATGATGATGCATAGCTGATATCAAACAGTAGCTAATATTATCAAACAGTATAATTTATTAAAGAATGACCATGGATACAAACTATTCACCTTTTATCTCTACAGTATGACCAATATAGTTAATTTAATGTCATATTTTGAAATCATCAGATACGTGTACGTGATGATGACATGCCTCTTGCACATGTAGCTATGGCAGTAGAGGGTTGTGGATGGACCCACCCAGACTACTTCTCTCTTATGGTCACTAACATGGTAAGGCTAAAGTTTAATTTTTCTGCTATCTAACTGACTCCAGACATCCATGATTTTGGCTTCCGTCAATCAAATTTACAATGGGCCAATCTTAGTCATTTCAATCACAAGTGATAAATATTCCAGTGACAGCCTGACAGCCATTTTGTCACAGAAAATAGGATGTTGAGTTGTGGAAATATTTATAACTCAAGATCGGAATGCACTGGGTAGATCTCAAATTTGATTGATGGAGGCCAAAATGCCAGATATTGGGAGTGGGCTAGGTTGCTATAAATAGAAGTAACAGATATATATTTATTTTGTTACAAGGTTCTGAGGTGGGAGCATATCATATTAAACACTCTTATAATGTCTATACACGTAGTTGCTATTAACTAATATACTTGTTGTTTACAGTTGGTAGGAAGCTGGGACAGGTCATTCAGTGCAGGACGAAATGTTGGTAGCAAATTAGCTCAAGTAAGTTGAATATGATTTCATAAACAATTAACACCAGTAATATATCCTCTCCACAACTTTACAGCTGTCTTGTAAGATGTGTGTCTCAAGTTCATGGTAATGAACCAGTTTGAATGATTTTTTCATTGGGTTTATTTTTTTCAGCAAGTTTCACAGCATAATCTTGCACATAATTTCATGTCCTTCAACACTTGCTATACTGACACTGGTCTCTGGTATGTATTCTTACTGCATAGTATTACTCAGGGTTTTCAATAGAAGCCGGCAGCAGGAAAACTAATTAAAGTTACTACTGTATATTATCCTATAGGGGTATCTACTTTGTGTCTGATAAGATGTCTATTGACAATATGATTTACTGCATACAGAAGGAATGGTAAGCTATGTATGAGTACATAAGAAATAATAAACATTGATTTAGACTCAAGAATGAGGGTTTTAAGGTGGCTGCCTACTTTTGAACATTCGAATTGAGCCCACGATGAGCACGCGCTCAAAAACCGCTGTAAAATCTACAAGATTTTATTGAAGAACCATACGCGTTTTGAGCTTCAACAGGGCAAAACCCTCAAATTTTGCACGGGACTCTATATTTTTTGATAGCTCATTCGAAAAAACTCCTAAGAATCTAGGTTATATCAACATTTTAGGAAAAGTTTAAATCAGGAACACGTGAAAAAATAGATTTTTGTAGGGATTTTTGTTCGACTTTATGAGATTTTTTAAGAGCACCGAAACTACAAAATATGACAAATCAATGTATCTCTCTGTCTTTTTGTCAAAAATATCCATGTATTATTGTAGAATGATTGACTAGCCTTTATTCATGCAATCATATAGTCTGCAAATAACTATTATCTTATTCATCTTAATTTTTTTCTAATCACTTCCGGTGGCGCAATTTTTACTCCAAAAGCTCGTGCGTAGGCTTCCATTAAATGCTGATTATCTCGAAAATGAGCTCGGGACACCCTATTTTTCTTTCCAGATTTGGAATCAGCATTAAATTTCAATTCGGAAAATCGAAGTTTTAAAAAAAGCTTAAATCAATTTCCAAAAGTAGGCAGTCACCTTAATATCCAGATATAGGCATGATATTATCACAAGAACACAAGACTATTGCTTATTATTTCTTAACACCCAATGTAACATTATACTATTGCCAAATTGGTTTTCCCCCACCATTTAATTTATTATGTTATTGATATTATTATTATACGATCTTTGTGTAGGATGAGAATATGCACAAGTGTTACAGAACATGAAGTTGCCAGAGCGAAAAACCTATTGAAGACCAGTATTCTGATGCAACTAGATGGTAAGAATGCAAATGTGCTGACTATTGCAAAAAATTCTTCTAATTAAATCTTGTTAAATTAAATACTGGTATATTTGTTCTTTAAGGTTCTACACCAATCTGTGAAGATATTGGAAGGTGAGAATCAAAAAAAGATTTWAAAAAAAAAAAATTATAAAATATTTTCATAAATTTCATATATCGGTTGTTACATCTAGTTTGCAAGAATTATGGAATATTTCTTGATCTTTCTCACAATCATGTAACACATAATAGATACTGTATAACAACCACCTCAACATATTAAAATATTAGTATATATGAACTGCAAAGGCTTATAAGATTATATACATACTTTATTTATAGACAAATGTTAACATATGGTCGACGTATTCCTTTGCCTGAACTTGACATGAGAATTGAGGTAAATTAAATAAAAGATGACTGAATATGTTAAGTACTGTCTTGTCACCATCCTTGATCTTCCAGGAATTTGCTTAAATCCCAAGTTAGATCCTATTCATTGTTTCATTATATACCTAATCTATTTTAAGCAGTTACTCATTGTATAAACCAAATACTTGACTCGACACAGCTAGCCCAAGCCAAGTCATGAGTTTATCATTAGATGTTGCCCATCTTCTAGAAACCAGATTCATATTTTAACAAAATTAGCTCAAGTTATATTACCGCATGGTTTAATGATAGAACTCAATGTTTACAGATGATTGATGCCAAGACTGTGAAAGAGGTTGCTACAAAGTACATATATGATCGCTGTCCAGCAGTTGTTGGTGTTGGTAAGAGATGAGTGTTTGTTCTATTCTATTATTAGTTTATAAAACAATGACAAAGACAGTGAAATTGTAGCATAACATTCAGTATCTAAAATTCACTTGAAGCTATACATGTATTTTTCATAATATATACAGTATAAGTGGCCGTGTTGTATCAGATATTCAAACTCGAGGCGTAGCCAAGAGTTTGTATATCAGATACAACATGGACACGAATACTGTAGATTGCTCATCAAACATCTAGGTTAGTTCCTTTGTGTTTCACTAAAATTTTCAAAATTAAAGTGAATCTGGCCAAGAAAATCCAACTAAGGCTTATGCCAATGAACACAATTTTGTATCAGATTTACAACACTCTTCACAGTCGTGATTTCTGTTGTGTTTTCCTCATAAATTATTAATGAGTTTGATAAGTTTGATTATTAAATTTATAATGTAATATAAATTTTTCTTATAGGACCTGTTGAACAGTTACCTGACTACAACCGTGTACGAGGAGGCATGTACTGGTTGAGACTCTAATCACATGCCAATTGAGCATTAATTAACCACTGAGTTTTAGAATTGGAAGGTCACTTTGCCTTCTGCTGTGAAAAGGGTTTGATTTCATGTACTTTTATGTTACTGAAAGAAATCTTGGTCAACCTTGTAAAGATATTCAGACATTTTATTAAAGCGTAATTGAATAAAGCATTAATGTTGTTGTGCTTTAAAGACTTACAGATGTATTTTTTCCCACCCTCAAAAATCTCATTAATTGTAATGAGAAATGAACTGTTGCCGAAACTTGTTAATTGTGATTTTTGGGGGTTGGTGGTATGGAGCAGGTACAGTATGATGCCCAAAAGTTATGCTGTTCGACATTATCAAGACAAGGAAACCTATACCATTATTATATTGTATTACAACCAACACTTCCTGCTAACGTCAGGTTTATTTTTATGGGTGGGAGTGGCATACCTTTATAAATCCAACTGATTGAAGTTGATGATATGATTGGCTACAGTCATCTACAGGCAGGGACATATGTGCAAGATTGACTGACAGACAATTTTGTTTAGAGAGATGCAAGGGGCAGATTTTAAGTGATGAACATGACAAAATGATAATAAAAGAGACAACATTGGACTGGTGATGTGCAATTTAATTCATTATACATGGCTAGATCTTAACATTTATTTGCATGCATAGGTTGTCAGACCTGGCCAGGGTTTATTGGTATCAGGGAATTTTTAACCCTGGTATTCAGTATCATCTGACATATTTATCCGATTTATTGGTATAAAATATCTTTTTTGGAATTTTTAGGATCCAAATTGTTCCTGAAATTCTGGGTATATTGCTTTCATAGAGGAGGGAAAATTGGGTATTCCTCAATGACGTTATCTGGTGGAATTTGAAGATTTTTTATTAGGTCCTTTTGTAACTGTCCACCAGCATGGCCGCCATGTCTTTGTCTTTTGATTCTCTTGGGAATGGTTGAAGACCACCTATATTGGTATCTCTACACTCACCCCACCCCACCCCCCCTCCCCCTTGCCAAGTGGTTGATAGGTCTCAGTTGAGTTACCTGTTAAAGTCAAAAAAAGAAAATCTGTATTCCCTTGGCTAATAAAGTTAACAATTTATAATTTATTTACTTTATCTTTTAAATTATAAATGTAGCACTATTTACTTTATCAGTCTTTTATTTTATTTTTCCTTCATGCTCCTCTCTATTCTAACTTTCTCTTTTTTCTTTATTTCTTCTTCTTATTTTGTTTTATTATATTGAATCAATATACTAGTAAATATTACAAGTATTTTTAGCCCTGATCTAAGTCTTTTGTTTTCCAAAATACCTAATTAGCATTCTAGCAAAATATACCGTGACGCGGGAAGGCCGCTATGACGTAATACAGGAGGGTTAAAGCGTCACGCTAGCCATGCATCTGCAACTTTCTCTTGATGGCATAAGATAGGAATTTTTGCAGAAAGATTCCTAAAATATTCAGGACAAATTTTTCAAAAAGCCTAGTAGTTTAGCATTAGAATTTTTACTTTGTTCGATTAATCTATCCCTGAAACGCGGCTCATGCTGAGGTAAATTTTATGAAAAATTTCCTGTGCGGTGAGCTTTATAATCTGTCTATTTATAGTACCTTACATTAGCCAATCAGGATCGAAATAATATGCGAAAGGAATGTCAACCATTTGGGCTGTCGTCATGATACGTCGTATCGTTTAAACTCGAATGGTTCGAAAAACGATTTAGCTTAAATCATTCGAAACTACTGAAATAAAAGAACTGAACCATGAATTTTAATAACATTTCGTTTTAAGACCAATTCTAGACTTTTCGTTTGAAGATGAAACGCTTACCGGACAAAATACAATTCCAACTAATTTGAGCGCATGTGTTTATATAGTTTCCCTCCAGAATAACGAAATTACGAGTGTTTTAATTGGCCGAGAAAATAATTTGATTATCTTTGGATTAGTCAGGCGTGAATCCATTGTTTATTGACCAATCAAAACGATTGTTATATCCTTGGGGACCGGAATATAGTCATCATCTAGGAATAGCGGACACCCCCCTATACCATAAATTGAAGGTGTGGCTGAATTCTAAACCAACGTCGTTCGGCCATTTCCTCATACAAACTTTCTTGTTTCTGGCCGAGATCAACTCGAGAATTGTTTAATTTACCTAAGGTAAGTCCATGCAAAAGCTGCTACAAGCTGTCCTATGTATTTATGAGTCCCTCTAGTCTAGTTAAGAAGCTATTTTGGGTCGTATAATGCCTTAATAAATCCAGTATTCAAAAGTTATATTTCGATAACCTTGAAAATAATTGTGTGTTCTTACACAATACATGGCATACGTCCTTTCATTCATCGACTTTTGATCAAGGTAGTGCTTTTTAACATGACTAGAGGCTCTAAGAATACTTGGTAATATTATTTGTAGCTATAAACTGAGCAGACTATTAGAAAATGATAAAAGTACGGATGAAATAGCGTCACTCTAAACGTCTTACCAAGGTATTTGCGCTTCAGCGTCTTAAAGCACTTTGTTTGAAGGAAGAATTGATTACTTCTGTTCCTGTAGGGACCTCAAAGACTTAAATAAGCTTTTGTTACCTTGTTAGAGTGTATTATTTGGTTTATATTTGTGTTATATTGGTAATGTAATGGTGGTATTTCCAAGTAGCTAGACGCCATGTTTTCTTCCATATCTACTTCAAACACGCGGTCCTAACCTCGACTATCTATTCAACTCTCAATTACAAGCACATATTTTATCTAATTCTCGATGCTCTCTTCAGTGGTGGTTTGTTCTGTGGATGAATCACAAGGGCAGGTTATCCAGTAAAATCGAGTCGTGAATAGAAATATAGATTCTTACACCTCCCTTTAGTCGTACTTATTAATAAGGGGTGTTGTTGTACAGGAATCTAGGAACACAGTAGTTTTGTATTATCATCGATCCCTTAAAAATATAAGCTAACAGGCATAGATTCTTTTACACCAACTCTAAAAATCGTCAAAACCAAAATATTGCAGTATATATTTGTCGAGACACCCACTTTTTGAAGGCAAATAACATGTACAAAGCATAATTATCATTTCTAGGTACTGTCTGACATTAAACTAGGTCAGGAGTGTTTTATTTTTATCATAATTAGATATAAAAGGAATGTATATATTTAGGAATGTGTGTATAGCATATTGTATCAAGACCACATAAATAGATAATTTGAGTTAAAGAATGGGGTTGTGCAGTAATTGTGACTAGTCTTTTGATCTTAGTATAGATCCAACATTGTTTATTTCCTGTCTGTTTTGAGTCGGTGTAAACTTCAAACTGGTTATATGATCTGCATGTGTTTGCCCTTGTACAGAAATAGCCTGGATTATTGGCAAATACACAGTTTATCCATGCAGAAACCTTCTGGTATTTTCCACAACTAGAGTTAACTGTTGTGGAGGGCTAAGTTTTTGTCATAATTACATGATCTAGAATTGCTTCAAAATATATTATAATATGGTTTTATAAACAGCAAACCATGTAAATCTATAATCACCTATATTTCTTTAATATTTTTAAAAATAATATTCACTTATATCTTACATGTATTTTACTATTATTTATATTGATATATTTTTCAATGAAAACTTCATATCAAACTAGATTTATTACAGCAGTAGTTATCCTTTCTTTTTTACCCTATTACTAAATACTTGAGAATAAAAAATGTCCCTTCATTATTGAGAGATCTTTCAATCTTGCAATGCTTTGTTGTGCACAGCATCAATGATGTTATGGTATGATGGTTTGATGGACTTGGTCTTGTGTGAATATCTATGATAAACATTTCATTTATTTGCCTGCCTGGAGGTATGAAAACTGCCCTGAACAAATTATCTTCTTGTCTTTGTTTCAGATAGATAATTGTTATAAAGAATGGCTGCTATACGTAAAAAGCTGGTCATCGTAGGAGATGGTGCCTGTGGTAAAACTTGTCTTTTAATTGTATTTTCCAAAGATCAATTTCCAGAAGTATATGTGCCTACAGTCTTTGAAAATTATGTTGCCGACATTGAAGTTGATAGCAAACAAGTTGAGTTAGCCTTGTGGGATACAGCTGGCCAAGAGGATTACGACAGACTTCGTCCTCTATCGTACCCTGACACTGATGTCATACTTATGTGCTTCTCGGTTGATAGTCCAGACAGTTTAGAGAACATCCCAGAGAAATGGACGCCAGAAGTCAAGCATTTCTGCCCCAACGTCCCAATTATACTGGTTGGTAACAAGAAAGATTTGAGAAATGATGAAAATACCAAAAGAGAATTAGCTAAGATGAAACAAGAACCAGTAAAAACTGAAGAAGGAAGAGCTATGTCAGAAAAGATTGGTGCTTTTGCATATATGGAGTGTTCTGCTAAGACCAAGGAAGGCGTTAGAGAAGTATTCGAGACTGCAACAAGAGCAGCTTTACAAACCAAGAAAAAGAGGGGAAGGAAATGTGTACTTGTATAATTGGTTGTTGATGCTGTTGGACTTGTTTGAACTTTCTATATGGACTCTTTAAATCAGCAACCACAATAGTTATTGGATTAGAATACATCCATAGGAAAGACTGTTCTATTCCAGAATTAAAGTCACTCTAGTCCAGCAAACAATATCCTTTCATAACGATTGCCATATTTGAAAACAATTATTAAGGTTTTGTATCTAAATTGTCTTCAAATTTCATTGTAATGGTGTACATCGATGCTCTCTATTGATAGTAAGCCATTGCTATAGTCTAACAAGTAACATGGATTTTTTTCTTTTTGTGCAAAAAAAAATATTATAAATGTGGCCCTTTTCTTCCTAATAATTCATTCCAAAGATCAGTATTTTAATAGCATATCTTCCAGATTTGTAAAAAAGTAAAAAAGTGGCTCTTAATTACATATTCCTTGCAAGCTCAGGGCATTATTCAATGAAAATTAGAGTATTAGTCTAGATTGTAATGCTAAATAGAGTAATTGAAATTCCTTAATGTATCTCACAATGTAGAAACAAATGTCCACTTGAAAGTAATTCAACTTTGGATGTAGCTATTGCCTTATTTTGTCAAATATTTTTACCCAATTTATTTGTTTATTGGTGAAAGACTTTTGTTTTTTGTCCCATCAATAAAAGTATAATTAAATAAATACCTTAGTTTTGTTATTGATTTTATAAAGTAGAAGTAAAAGCAAATTACAATAAAGTTGTGAAAATGTCAGTGATTTATACTTGGAAATGCGAATGTGTTCTGCTTTACTTAACAGGTTTGTTGAATGGGATGACTCGAGCTGTCTCAGAAGATTATTCTTTGTCTAACAATGGGTGCTGTTCTCACACACTGTTAAATTTGATTAGATTTTTGATCTTCTGAGAACTTTAGGTAGACCCACTATATAATTAAATAATATTACTTTGACAAATAGTAAAAAGGCGTTTTTTTCTAGAAATTTAACTTCAAATGAAATTGTAAATTTACATTGTCAAAATATCCATCAGATTCATAATTTCAGATATTTTTCAGAGAACACTTCCACATAATCATAATTTTTATTCAACATTTATCTCACTTCACTTTGATAACTTGTGTGTAAAATAAATTTTCATTTGAGAAATCATTATTCTTGATATATCCAAGGTTGTATTTGAAATTTTTTCTAAATTCTTAATTTTGATTGTCCCAGCATGCAGCAAAGAGGGGGGGAAATGTGTCCAGTTCAGGATACAATTTTACTGTGCATCAACTCAAAGATAATAGAAATTCCTGCTAAATGGCTGTGATTAGCCTGCATGCAGCCTAACTTTTCTCTTCAGCTGCACGCAGGCTAACTGTGATTGGATGAAACAAAATTCACCTCGATATTTATCGAGTTCAACCTCAACTTGGAACAATTGCTCAGGAGTCACTCAGGTGAATTTCTGAAAGCTCCATTTTGTGGTGCCAGTGTCAATGATCCATGTTGTTATTAGTTTTACATTACTAGAATGATTTTCACATGACCGTGAAAGAAAATAGACCATTTAGTTTGTAATAGTTGATAAAGAACAAAAGAAAATCATTGGTTTAGAGTCTACTACTAACTATTAGTTTGCCTATTCTTTCACGATCATATGAAAATCACTCTATCATTATGGCTGAAGAACTACCCTCAAAGTTTGTTGTGTCTAGCATTTCTATCACCATCAATCAAAGAACTGAAATTTAAAAAAATATATTTTGAGAAATTTTTGACTGAATTAAAGATTTTTGAGGATTAAAATCTTTATTTCAGTCCCTCAAGATTTATTCAAAATTTCAGTTCTTTGATAACAGTTGTTGAAATGCTAGTTGGCAAATGAGACCTCAAACTTTGAGGGTCGCAGCTCAATTATAATGGTAGTAAAAACACTGTTTTCTATCATCCTGTCAATCTTCCTCTCATCACATTGGAAGCACATTTCAATACATGCAAATGTACCATTTCTTTCCCAATTCAAGCCACTGTTTCCACCATTTTTATCATGAAATCTGCAAATTGGTTAAGGCACGAAGTTTAGCATAGAGTGCAAACAATATAACCGTGAAACTTTAGTTATAATTAGCACAATTTCATGCAAATTCCATTGTTTTCTATTTAAAACTCATCAACTAATAAGTTTGGGCTAGGTACCAGTGCGGGGTCTGGTCACGTGAGCATATGGCCCAGCAAGGAGGTAACCATGGCAACTGGGCCACAACCCAACACTGGTGCCTGTCACACTGTTAAAACAGTGGAGATAATAATTACCTATGATGTAGACTGAACTTAACCGTATAGAGGAGGGAGGGAGGGGCAACTTGTACGATGGCAAGCATGCAAAGATGGCATATAAGCTACAAGTCAGCTAGTGAACACGCCACCCGGAGTGAGGGCACAGGCGTAGCGTGGATGGTCCGCTGGCCAACGGTGCTTAGGCTAGCAGGCTTAGTTGTAGTTTTAACTTTGGCTAAATTACATTTAGCCCCATTTAATTAGCAATATTTTGTACTATTTAGTAATTAGTGTTGCACGGATTAATTGTTTGCACTCTACTGTAGTTATTACAACACCAGATTGGCATCACTTATTCCAAGGGTTTCAGTTTGTAGATGAAAAATTTACAGTGCATGAGAAAGTTGGGGTTTTTAGATTTTTTAGATTATTCATGATGATAGTTCAATAATTATGACGACCTTATGCAGCAACACAAATCGTTGAAGTCTGAAATATATCTTTATTTTTTATGTCCATTATGAGAAAGAAAACCCATGGAAAAGTATCGAAACTACTAATCCAAAATCTATTGTTTTCTATCATTCAAACTGTACTACTTAGCACTACTCAGTTGGTATCTTTTCATGGGTTTATTATCTCCTAAGCAGTGTTATTTTTGCTCATAAAAAGTGAAGCATTATTTAAAGGACATTTATTGCTCTAGTTTTTTGGGTGAATGTAAAGTCAGCTGCTATGTTGGTTGACTTTTGCAAAGCATTCCTCATCAGCTTCTCTCATTATATCAACCAACATGGCGGCTGTTTCATTATTATTCATATCTCAAGAGATTTTGAGTCACATTGGTTGCAATCCAAGAACAACGGTTTCATCTGTACAACGTCTACTACATACTGTCTAAAAAGCTCTGTTTTACTAAAACTTTTGCATTTTTATCTTCTATCCATTTCCTGTTCAATGTTCATTCAAAGGAAAATAATTTATAAATTCATTTTTGTGCAACTCTTAACCAAGTTGCATCTCAAAGATGTACTAACATTCGATTCAATTTAACCCATAATATCAATATTCCATTGAAATATTTCATTTTACATAATATTTTTATCTATGATGCCTGGTTTTAACGTAAAGCAAAGGAACTAAGAAAAACCCTAAAATGATTCATGTTCAAAAATGTATCATCTAAGATAAAAACAATGCTAGGACTATATCCAGCTCTGGGGTGGATCCTGGAGTTTGTTCAGGGAGAGTGCTGCACACCCCTTAGAATTAAAGGGGAAAAAATATTATTTTGTATTGGTTATCTTCAAAGAAGGGGATCAAAGTCAATCCAGGGAGGGGTGCACACCCCCTGTACCCCTCCCCTGGATCCACCCCTGCTGCTGCACCCATGAGTGACACACAGACTCTGTGTAGGTCTTCTACAAGACAACTCCTAACATGTAATATGTAACAGAGTTTGTATTTTCCTTAGGCTTACAGTTGTGTTGCAAGTCAAAACCAGGCCCATATGTTAATTTAGTTTACATAAGCCACTATTTATGGGCAATTTTCCAAACTAGCAGATACTAGGTGCTGCCGTTGACAGTAGCCAATGAGCCAGAAGCAGCTTTGTCCACCCGAGGGGCTACTAGTAAGTCTGCATATTCTTGCAATGCTTCTTTCAAAGCTCGTCTAACTTGGTTTGAGTTGCATGTACTACATTCTACCAAACGTGGGTAGAGTTGGACTACTTGGTCCCAGATCTTGGGGTCAACTGCAAGGTAAACAAATGATCTTGTCTTATGACTTGCTTACAGAGTATACATCGGTGGTACTCAATATACATGATATAACATAGGATAGGATGGAACAAACTAAACCAATACGTTTTATTGTCACTGCAAGCGATGTTCAAACAACTTCAATGCAAAAAGCATGAATCTTAGGTGAGTGCTTTTTGGGGATGGATAGCATATGGATGGATAGATGGCACATATGGATGGATGGCATATGGACGGTTGGGTGACATCAATCTAAAAAGTATAGGATCTTGTCTGTCTGTTTGTTGGAATGGGACAAATGGACAATACTCATACAATAGTTGAAAATTATAATTTGAACATAAATCTTTGCAAGTAATACCAAAACAACATTGTTGTAGTTGTAAGAGATATTTTACTTTCACTTAATTTCATCATGCATCAAAGACGTGTTGTTGCAAAGGATGACTAAACTAACTACTTGAAGATGTAACCAATACATGATAGCGTGTTTAGAGTGCAAACACTATATTCATCAGAAAAGGTACATCAGAACTAGCACTAGTTAGTACTAAATACCACTGATGATACAGTAGACACTTTTATTTTTGTGCTCATTTAGTGCTTATTAAGCTTAGTACTGTTTGATCAGCCTAATGGTTGTTTCAGAACATTTGAAGCATTCAACCAACACGTGGATGCCTTATTGTAGCCGATTGTCACATATAGTTTTCCATCAAAACGACATTATAAACGATGGTGAATGTACTAGAAAACTTCAGGAATACCCAATATACATAATATATGTTAGACTACTTACCAACACGTGCGTTGTCACGTGTCATTTTCTTCAAAGAGCCAATCAAGGTACTGACAGCCTTCATGACGAATGACATTTCAGCCATGCGTGTTCTGAGGGAAAAGAATCTGATCAGTGACACATCAAAGGAAAAGGTCTGGGTCTAGGAAAGTAAAAACGGATAAGTATGGGCAATACCTTGGTAGCGGGCATTTTCCGCTCAGTCTTTCGTCCTCTACGTATTTTTCAAGAACATCTTGACAACGACTCAACATTGCATCGAGTGCTAATTCCGATACTTGACCATCTAAATTATAAACATAGGACACAGACACATTGAATATAAAACAGGTTATACATTACAATTTGTAAGTGATACCTTGCTTGTACAAGTCTTTTTCTACCCTACGTTACGGAGGGGAAGAAAAACAACCTCTGCTAGCAGGGTAGTAAGCGATGGACGGGAAATAACTGTCCTTGCTAACAATTCCTATACACCTCATATAGTGCCGCTTAGGGTAGTTCCTAGACTATGACCAAGGAGCGCGTACGGTATACAACCACTGTCACAGCACGGAACTGACGTCCGTTGAACCGATCATAGCACGCGAGGCTACCTATTTATCCAATTAGAATACTCGCACATGGTATCGTTACGGTCACGGCACGTCCGTACCATGAGTTTTACCGCGAGATATGTGGGGCAGCACGAGACAGCAAGCGCACATGCAAGATATACTTTTCACATCAGCCGGTCATATTCAGAGCACAGCTCGTCTTTGCGGAATCTAATATATTTTTCACAATTGACAAATTAGGTTCCCGTTTTGGACAAACAAGCACCAAGTGTTAGTATTTACAAACTACGAATATTGACTAAAGGTACAAGTTCTAAGGAAGAAAAGCCGGTTGCTAGCTTATATCATACCTGTTACGTCTTGTCGGTGAGAGTCATTCACAAATGAAAACTGCAACAACGTCTCGAAGCAAGATTTGGCAAACTCTTCACGGATAGGAAAACTGTTCGCATCAGTACCTATAAGGAAACCAAGCGACATGAGAACAAATGCCATGTTGTAAGAGAGGGGAACCGCTCCCAAAATGCCCGTTACCCGGCTTTTACCCTTGGTCTGAAATAAACGAGTTGACCACACCCTGTCTGTCATTTAACACCACGTGCTATTCCCTCGAGCATAAGATTCTTTAGTTGAGTAAAATCCATATTGATGTGTCTTCTTCTCATGTGCATCAGGAACCATGGTAGGAGTACTTACCGCTGAATGCTGAGTCAGTAGCAGAATGAATGGAGCCACGGTTCAGTAGCGCCATCACRCGGACCATGAAGTCTTTAGGAAGAGTAGACGAGTGTGGTAAGATATCCTCACGAATCATTCGTAGAAGCTGAAAAACCCATAAATAGATGTTAAGTTTACATCATTATGCAGAGGGGAGGGGGAGGGGTCCTCTTTATTCCAACATGATTGACAGCTGTACGAACCTTAATATCAAGCTCTTCGTCTTGTTGGTGCTGCTCCAGTGACTGCGTGTTGGGTGGAGTCCTAATCAAAAACAGAAAATTTGAGAAATTTGTGCTGGTAATCGAGCATTGGGAAAAGCGAATAGAACCTCTGGAGCCCAGGGTAGCATTGTTGTGGCTGTGCAAAGAACAGAAGTGGTGCGCTTTCCCTAAATTTGGAATAAATTAGATGTAATAAATAAATGTTTTTTAAGGACAGCAGCCACAACACGAGAAACCATGCCACTTGTGGACTGAGTTGTGTGGGACGCAGTAAAGTGGAGAGGAAATGGGGTCCATACTTACTTCTCAGAGAACAAGAAATCCTCAAGACACGAAGCCAGTTCATACCACATTGAACTAAATGAATCTACAATCACAACAAACACCATGTTAACAGCTCTACAAGGTAAGACTGAACTGAAGAAGAAATCATGTGATTCGAGGTACCTGGATTATTTAGCGCCACAGGAAGACCAATTCTTAAAACAGTAAGAAGAGAACTAACTGCAAGCTTCCACGTGGTCTGTGATGGGCAGTCATACTTTAGACCCATAGGTGTGCGAAGTGCCTGAGGTGGAAACGAAAATCATCTAAATTTATATCTAAATACATTAAATGTTTTATATTTGAAATAGTACCTTAATGTACGACGTTAAATATTATTGGTAAAGAAAGAAATAATACTCAAGAAAAGACGTACTTTAAAAAATATATTTTATGGAACCCTGAAACAACCTCTGTGCTAATTTGTCAGGGCACGGCTAACTCACTGGTCAAATTGGAATTTAGCGCGTTTGAGTTTTTTCAACTTCATTTACTTTACAATAGCATGTTAGGTTTTGTGGATCGAGGGAGGAAAACCCTTGAATCCAGAATCAAATGGAAAGAAAACTGTTTTATTATAAGTTCATTTACCTTGATAATTTTCTCTAGGACTTTTTCTTGTATAACAGCATTCTTGTTGACACTAGTACCATACATCTCCACTGTCATCTCTAAGCATTTCTCAGAAAATGGCGTTAATTGAAGAATCAACCATTCTTTCTTCTTGCCGAAGGATACTTCATTATCAACCTTAGGAGGGTTACAAGCACATTCTACAAAGAATACTAACAGTCCAAATAAAGTAGGATACATTGGTTGGCTAGATATGTCTAGTACAGAGCCCTTGTTGTTGGGCAGAGGTTCTCGTAAGATATCCACTACATCGATGATAGAGTGTTGTAAAGGAGTTAGAATAGTGTCCTGAAATGAGGGCAAGAGGAAAGGAGATTGGTCTGCAGGCACAGGAATCGTGATGCAAGCTTGTAATATCTTGGAGAGTTTCTGCAAATCTGCTAAACCAAATCTATTGTATATCCGTCTAAAGAGAGTGGGGAATATTTGCACAAGGGCGGTAATGTATGGCTGGGTTGGGTAGATCTTGTTAGTCACTGTTTTCCCCTCAGCATCTACTCGTGTTTGGTCGAATGATGAGGGTGACAGACTCGACATTCCAATATCGCACCAAACCTTCCAGGCATTAATCCACAAGTTTAGATCTTCAGCTTCTTCGTAAAACTTTGGTTTCACTTTCATCCTGGATCTCATCTTTGCAGCTCGTACAGGGTCAAGTAGCATATTAATATCTTCCTCTTCTTTCTCACCATTGCTATTCTCACTAGAATCCTGTACCATCTCCTGGAAACTTTTCAATGCTGCTAGCGCTACTTCAGATGATTTACTCAATGCTGCTGATTCGACAAACTCCAAGAGTAGTGCCCAGGCCCTGGGGAATTCATCCAGGGCTGCGAGAGTCTGGCGCCTAGTGTTGAATACTCTAGCCACACCATTCAATGTCAGGACACGTGTTTCTGCCCATTGCTTCTCGGCCGTGTCACGTGAGTGATGGATGAGTATTTTGTTCTTGGCTTGATTGATGTCACTTGGTGGTGGGACAGTAGCTGCTGTCGTGGACATGCGCTTGACTTGATCAAGCAGAGGGAATAACACCTAAAGATAATATCAACACATGATAAATATTAGGAAAGTATATACCATTTAGAACACATGCTGAGGATTACCCTTACGATAACTATGAATGTCAACGTCATTATCATCACCACCATCACAATTCTCATCAACAACGACATCATCATCATTGTCATCATCATTGTCTTCATCATTCCCGCTTTAGAGAGCATATTTTAAGCTAGTTTAATATTGCGTATCTATTACCTGCCACAGTACAGTATACCACGTGATATTTTCTAATAACGATCCATGTACACTGATTGTAGAGAACAATGTCTGTCCTGCACTCTTCCTGACAGCAGGTCGTGGATCAACACAAAGATCACCAAGCTTGGAGTAGAGACACATCCATAATCGATCACTTGGAGGGACGGGACGATCGTACTTTAGACCCTCAAACTCCGATGAATCAGGAGCTTTGAGGCCTTCGCGTATTTTGTCGCGGTTTTGAGATAAAAAATCTGCGATGTTCCACTAAAAAAAAAAAAGAAAACAGTGGCATTTTAAGTTTATTCCAAAATCCTCTTAGATTTCTTTTTCTTCTTAAAATGTTTGAACTTCTTTGGGAGTTACGAGATAATGGTGTAAAACCAAGATATAATATCAAGATATAATAGGGGAGAAGCATGTGATTTCCACTTCGGCGCCATCTTTGGAGAGCAAGCTTTTATTGCAACAGAATGGAATAATAACAATTATGGCGGCCACCAAGTTGGATGACGTAATCCGCGAAATAAATCGCAAATCTTTTTGGTGAACATGACGTCACATATACAATAATATATAACATCAAGTATGAGTTTTGTGCACATTCAAAACTAGCATGAATTTGTGGTCTTGCACTTTAGCTGATACCCAAGAAAAGCGCGGGAAAATCTATGCTTACGCATGCGTAATGTATCATGTCTTACCAGTAATCCAATGGCTGTCAAGCTAATGTTCAGTTCAAGTGGTTGTAAACCAAACTTCCCAGCAACATCAATGACAACCTTGAGACACGCGCAAGGCATCAAGGGTAGGAAGTCAGTCACTACTAACTGAAGACTCTGGAACGCCACGCGAATCAGACCTTCCCTAAAAACAAGCAAACAATCACACTTGTTACAAAACTTCGAAACATTTTTACATTTACGGTTGCTCGAGCTAGTATTTCTATGTTTTTTAACTTTTTAACCAGCAACTCTGATAGGCCGTCTCCAGTTTCCTATCCATGCGCACACGCACGTCTCTGGTCCTAACAGAGGTTTTGTATCATCACGTGACGGCATCCACGTTATATGGCAGGAACAATACAATCGTTTTACATGAGAAAGAATTTAATTCCCGAAACTAAAGGGATTTTAATATTCTGCCATCTAACCACAGGCAGTCCAAGCTGTATTATGGGCGTGGGCAAGTGATCGTTACTAGCGTCAAAAACAAAGCTTAAAATCGAGACAAATTGGAAGATTCCTCATAGCCTAGAGGTTTCGTGTATTGTGTGGCGTCATATCCTTACCCCTGTTGATTGGTTGCAGCTCCTATCACACCAAGAACACACGGCCAGCCGTGACCAAGATTTTGACCAGTAGAATGGAGAATCTAAAATTTGAAAAGCAAGATAGATATGTAGAAGTGAAGATTTGAGAGGTGCCGCTGAAATATAAAGTGAGAATGGGAAATTGCACCAAAGGGTGGAAAAAAATACGGGATAACCAGACGGTATTTACCTGTAAGACACATTCAAGCTGCTTGTATCGTATGTCGGAGTAGGATATGGAAGACATTTCTTGTAATGGGGACAGTAACATCGCTTGCAAACTCTGAAATGTCAACATCAGTTAAACACAGAGTTTAGAGTCGGTGTGTTTCTAATTTAATCGCGAAAAAACACCATCAAGTGTCATCATCATTATTCTTAATATAACCCTCACAACCATCAGAATCAGCAATCATGTTTATTGTCATCATTTACTCTCATCACAATCATCACCACTAATATCACCATCGTTGCATCACATCATAACTCACAATATTCTCGTTCAGCGGTGGCTTGTGATTATACGTCAGAGCTGAACGGACTAATGACGTCACAGCTTCTGCTCCCCATTCCCTCATCTTCGCGTGAGTGTGCTGACAGACCTGAAACCGATTTATCGATACGGAGATAAATATATATATAATAATTTGCACTGGTCTTCAATAGGTGACCAGTAAGACCTCGCAACTAATCAAGAGACAAACTGCTTACCTCCAACAAATGCGCGGTCAGCGGTTTCCACAGTATTCGAGCTCGATGAAGGTTGTTTAGTCCTGTCTCTAGTAACTTAGCAACGGCAAACAAGGATGGTTCCTGTAAACATGAAGGCATTAGATCCATTAACCAGAACTTTAATAAGAAATGAGAGGAGTGGACTGGATTCCTGATACCTTATTGGACTGTGCTTGTTCCATTGATGTGGAAGACAGCTGACACAAAGCATCCACCAAGTGATGTAATGCTACGTCATCAAGGTATCTGGAGAACAACACACCAATATTAATGAGCACTAACTTAACCGTAGTTCTGGTAATACTGTTTCTCATTTCTCTACAACATTAGACGTCTAACATGAACGAATATGTCAGCAAGTAATGGATTTTGGTTTGCAATCAATCCCAAGAGAGCACAATAACAAAAGGGATGTCCGCCATGTTGGAAGATATAACAAAAGAATTCATTGWAAAATCTTTTGTCAAATTCTTCCAACATGGCGGCTATGACGTCTATTGCAAACGAAGAATAGGAGAATGAAATAAAAAGTGAACAAAAATCCCTCGTATTCCTTACGATTATCGTCTGCCCTGTCTCCGGGTTCAAATCAAGTAAAGTTGCATGTTGTCTAGTTTCTCGCTACTTATTGAACACTTGTGAAAAATTAGTATCTTTTCCTGGTTCGAAAAACCTCGTTATCGTGTGTTATCTTGGTACTAGTACCCCACGGTCAAGAAAGGTTTTGAACACGTGTATGTGTCGTATGTGTGTGGATAATGTGGCTTTACTACGTACTGTGATGTTTCAAAGAGTCTTGACAGAATAGCAGCGAGAACAGGTAACTCTGCCATCATACTTTGACTTATTACCTTGAAAGATAAAACACAGATGATGAGTAACAATCCTATGTTAAATATACTCAGTGCTTCAGACGTAAAGAGCAAAAATCGGAGTTCAATTTACCAAGTTAGGTGCTTCTGTAGTTGGCATGGCTTTCAAGGTTCCGCCTGTTGAGGGTTTTAAGCCAAGGATCCAGGTTAAGTGCTGAAAATAAGACAGTATTTATTAACGACCTGGCGTAAGAAACGGTACAGTTTGTATACATATAGATGTACATTATGTACGTGAACAGGCTGTAATGTATGCCAGGCAGTGTGCAAGGCTGAGTAAGGCACGCATACACTGCACCTTAATGTGTGTTATAATTACCTGTAATGTTATAAGGACCATGTGCCAGGCAGTACCCAATATAGTACCATGACAGTGTGCAAGGCTAAGTAAGGCACGCATACACT